CACTTTTCGCGCCACTTTTAACCTCACCAAAATAGGGAATTATTGGCGATTAAAATCTTCTAAAATTAAATGACTTGATATTATTTTGTTTCTACGGTTAGGAAGAGGTAATGATAAACCGATGTCCAACTAAGCCCTCACACTTGATCGTGCATTTAGGTGTCTGCCTGGAGGACTGGGAAAAAGGCGCCTCATGACACTCGTATCACAGGCCTGGCCAGGCAGAACACACCACTGTCCTGCAATCAAGTCCAAAATCCAAAAATTCGCTAATCACCTCAATGATAAAAAGGAGAGAGGAGGGTGACACCTTAAACACCCTCACATGACCCGATGCTCGAATGAGGGCGACATTAAACGACTCGATCATTGCAAAGTGACGGGGTGGAGGTACCTACTGTCTGTTTTTCCCGTTCCAAAGTCCACAAACGCCATTTTCGAATGTCAAGCGACAGACAAGGGGGAGGGGCGGTGCACGGCGCCCATAATCCACTTCTTTGTCAAATCCTGTCGGGGATAGATAAAATGGTTCAAAGAAGCCTCCGTTCCACCACTAAAAGGGGGAAGGTGGGGCGGCGGTGGGAGTCAGACAACAGGAGGCCCCCTTTGAAGGTTGTTAATAAGCGGACTTTTTAAAAGGGATAAAACTCTTTAAAAATAATATATAAAATAGCAAAATTCAATGTTTTTTCCAGCCTAAGAGATCAATCTCTTTGAAACAAAAATGTGTGATACCCCTGCTTTAAAGCAACATCCACTCCATTCTCCACTCAAGTCCTGGGTCGTGTAAAATTAGCGAAAAAAAAATAAAATTATAATTGAATGCTTTTTGACTACCAGCTGACTTGACAGGAAAAAAATATGTTATTTGTAAATAAGCAAAGTACTTTGCTGCCTAAAGTTATCTCACTCAGTTGGCTTAAAGCCGCAAGGCAGCGTGACAGGTCATCGCACATTTCAACATACTCTGTCACCTTGCTATAAGTTGTGGGTTATGGCAAGACCCTGGCATGAATTTGTTTCAGCGGCACACACTTGGCCTCGCGGGGCCTTCACACTCCACTGGGCTGAGCCTCTTCTATGTCGCCCCCTTGGCGGGGGAGGATCAGGGGTATGGGGCGCATGCCTAGTCCACTGAGACGGATGCCGGAGGCAAGACCCGTGCAACTGACAGGCCTTCGTGTAAATATACAAATCAAGAACCACGCCAAACTAGCAACGGAACCAAATCGTTTATCACCTTCAAAAAACAACGCTTATTTACTCAATAGAGTGCTATAAAAATTGGGCTTGACTAAGAGCCCCCGAAGGACTGTGAAGGCGGAAGATGAATGAATATAGAGGATTTTTATAAAACGATCTCCCTTTTTCTATCCGGCGAATAATTTGCAATACTCGCATATATTTTTAAAAGCATAGGTGTTAGTAAAAAATGAGTAAATGAACCGGATGATTGGTAGCGGTGGAAAGAAGGGGATGGTTCCTCCGCAATCAATTGGCTACGTCAGACGATGTTCGTGGGACAACAAAATCAAAGAGACTTTAAAAACCTCTTAGCAGCAGGGTCATTTAAATGGGAAAGCAAACCGTTTCCACCCAGTGTAGAGGGTTTTTTAACCGGGGCCAACTCGAGTATCCAGCTTGAAAAGGTACACGCATTTTGACATTCCATGAGACATCAAGGAAAGCGGACGCCCTCTTGATTTTAAACCTATGCCTTGGTAGGAATTAAAGTTCTGAACAGTTTTGGTAAAAAAGAATAGGACAGATCTAGGGATACAAATTAAACGACGCATTTACTGTTTGGGTAAGAACTCACAAATGGAAGGCGTCATTTTGAGAGGACTGTGTGACACAGAAGATGGTAGATCCGGAGCGCTTCCCATCGAAACTCATGATGTTTCTTCGCAACACACCTCGCACGGCACCGCACCGTACCGCACCACACCAGAACACACCGCACAAAATTCTATTTTAAACATGGGTGTGCACATAATATCTTGGCATAATTTTTGACTGTGCCGCCAATCAAATCCTCCGCAGAGGAGCATGCAATCACGCAATCAGGCACGCAAACACACACACGCACACACCCGCGGTGTGTACAACCATAATCGGAGTGAAGGAACGCCCACTTCTTAGCCATTTGACGCCACCATGAATTGGCACTTTCAGGCATCCGTGGTGTCACGCACGAGATGACAAGCTGTGACATCACATACGTCATGTCGGCACTCACGTATTCGAAGTGACATCAGATGATCACACAAGACTGCTCCGTTGACACCGAACCAGGCGGAGAAATGGTGAAAGATCACTTGAAGGGCTCTTTGACGAGATCAGTCACTTCCGACTACCGACGCGAGTGATCCTGGTGGGTTACGTAGTGGCAAGTCTAGTAAGGGCGCACTGATCTTGTAAAAGAAACCTTTTTCTTTGTTTCGCTATTAAAAATTTGTCTGAAAAATGGCTTACAAAGTTTAAAATCGACTGATTTGATTTGCTTTTTAATAACAATTTTTTCAGTTCCTAATAAATTAGAATATTTGCGACTGGTTCGATGGATAACAAAGCACAACGACAGCTTTTCTCTCCCTTAATTTTATTTATTTTGAAAGGAAATTTACCTGCAAAAGTGATTTTTCCCTGCCTTTTAAATTAATTAATGTGGTAAATTTATCCGAGAATGTTTACTTCTAAATCCAATCGAATCAGGAGCAATTCGAAGCTGCTCTATGACCTGACAACTATGACAGCTTCAATGCTTTTTTACTAATTAGACTTAAATTTTATTTCTTAAAAATGCAACCCACTGACAACTTTGCTTCTCACAAAATTAATTTGGGGACATCAAATCAAAAGGCAAAATAACTCCTGTCAATCAATGAAAGAATTATTTGACCTTACTATCGTTTCTCCAATAAATGTGATCTCATTTTGACAACCTCTGACACAGGAACGCATTTTGACAAGTGGTCCAAAACTGCTATAGCAAATACTCCAAAAATTCCTGTGTTATAAGAAATTTCTTCTAGTTCCTCTGATTGAGAAGGGTTTTTTTCCCAAAGGGCAAAACTGAACTTTTTATTTATTTTCTAACCAAAGGCTAGGCATCCATTGTTTCCTAAAAAAAAGAACAAGATATGCCTATTCTACTTTTTTATTCCATATTTTTTCAATTTCTGCCATATAACAGAAAAACAACAACTTGGCAGTACGTTTAAAGCAGACATGCTGCCAATATATGGTGACAGCTTTTTTCCCACTTGGTATTTACATGACAGCATGAAAACTTTTAACTAAAAGCCATTCGGTAGGCTTTTGAAACAGCAAAACTATTTCAGTATATATTTTGTACAAAAATTGCATGACCTCCAACGTCTGCGTAGGCTTCGGGTGTTAGCTGTACCCACATTTCGTGCCTCTGGTTATTTTGCACCCCTCCGCCACGTAGACAGTAAATCCTCGTTGTCGTTGAGGCACACACTGACTTACCTTGTCACATCATTGGTGACATTAGTGGGTGAATCCAGTCACAAATCCTCAGTCATGAACCCAGCCATAAAATGCGCATTTACCCGAAGCGTCTTGGGTAGGACTAAACCCACGGTGACTGGCGAGTCCGCGCCGATCTTGAAGTGTGGGTGTCAACCAGCCAAGCGTTAATGCTCCAAAAGGAGCTCTTATGCCTTTGTGATGGATGTAATTTACAGGGGATATGGCGTCTTCCAGTCCTAGGACCCACCGGAAGACGAGATTCAAGGCACGTGGGGCACCAAAGCACCTACCGCAGGTTTCGTCACAGCATTTGTTGATTGGTGCCCTGTCCCCACCCTTCTCCTCGATAATAAAACAACCAGCCACTCGGATTGGGGATGTGACTCCAATTGGTCCAATCTTAATACTTATGAGGTTCAGATGTTGTGCCTAAAGCCTGGGGTGGATTATAAACCCCTCTTTATCCAAATGAAGTAATGCCTACGCCTTGGATCGAAAGCACATTTCAGTCCCTTGTATAAATTAGGAAGTCGGAGGCAAATGTTTTCAAGGTGGATAATTTGGAAAGTTGTAGTAAGATAAATGCAAAGGGTGAATTTTTGGGGGACATCTATATAATTTACAAATCTACATAATTTACCATTTTATACACAATCAGCAACGCTTCGAAGCGGAAAAGAACAAATTCAAATTAGTGCCTTTTCATGACGCGTTTAAGATGTACCTAAACAAGCAATACAGGCGCGGATTCAAAAAAATAATTTAGTTTGTAGTTTTAAGGAAACTAAGGATGCAAATGCAAAAAAAATAAAATAAAGGCCTTCTGGGGAAAACAGTTTTACAAGAATTGTTTTTGTATTGCCAACGCTTGTAATTTTGACTCCTGCAGTTGAATTTGTAAAAAAAAATTAGGCGAATAGCACTGTATTATGTACTGGATTAAAAATGGTGAAATAGTTCCTAGTTGTTAATTAAAAGTCTAAAAGGAGATGCTTTAACTTATTTTCTGAATGACTGAATGCCTGACTGTTGGGCTGACTGATTGTCTGAGTGGTGAAGGGAAATGATATTCATCATTTACTTCAACGTCTAAAAATGCCTTCTTTTGCATGTAGTCAGGTAATTACGGATGAGCTCTGTCCACTCCTTATAACCTTACACAGTTTAATGGAGAGCAACCAAGGCTATTCCTCGAGAAGTAGACGGTACTGATGATTGGAGACTAGTGGGTCAGTGGGAGAGAAGTCCCATTCTTGTTCTTACAGAACATTGCAATGCAGGAACCCACATCTCCAATCATTAGCAAAGTGGCTCGTAAGAAAATACGCACTCTGAGGTGGGAGGGGAGAGGGAAGAGAGAAGATGCGAGTGAAGGGACGGGGAAGGGAGGAAACGCTTCCTCTTCTACATCTCATTCATTTGCATTCCTGCTAATGCCACCCTTGCTGCAAGTGATGCTTTCAACCTCTACTTGATATTGGGTAGCCAAATAATGGTTTTATATGAAATGGATGGCAGAGAGGTGGAGGCGAAATAGAAAAGGGGTAGCAAAAACTGTTTTCGATCCTGTAAACGAAGGCAAACATCTTATTTTAAATGCAGCTGTTTTAGGCCATTTGCAAGTGACAATGCCATTTGTTCTTGGAAGGTCCCACATTAAAATTCCCTTCGGTGTGGGATTCACGACCGCAATAAAACGCCAAACTATAACGGGCTATCCCTTCACTGACATGGTCGTTACCCGGTAAGGTATATTACATTTTGTAGCAGTCGACAGCCTTGGAACCATTGAATCCAAAACACCAGCTCTTTGACTGTTCGTTTGGAGAGTTTCCAAATTCACTCCTTTTACGGTGGCAGTAAAAAACAATTGGCCTTAAGTAAAAGTGTGATATGCTCTGTCTGGAGTTTTTTAGTTCCCCGGTAAAGGATATGACCTTACGCAAAGGACTTGAGGACGGGGGATTTTCCTTGCGGACGTCTGGAATTGGATGGAGAAAACTACACTATCAGATTGACTAATGCCTCCATTTTGAGTTCTGAGCCTTCAACGATGCAGCATCTACTTAAGCCAAGAAGGCTCTAAGAATCACGTAAATGGAGGATCGGACAGTGGCAAATTGACGGGGATGTGGAGTCTGGATGCAGCCCTGACGTCTTAGGCAAAGGTACCTGAGAATAGCAGCGGGCAGAGGAAGCAAACTTAAAGCCGAATCGCATCCGGCATCCAGAGATACCTTTCACACGTAACCTCCTCAACGTAGTGGGGGATGCATAAACATCATGAAAAGCACTACGCCTGGAATCGGAAGTCTTCTCTCAGTGATGGAATTTCATCGTAGGATCATTGTTCCTTGATTAAACCTCACTGGAATACCATTGTGGCAACGAAAGAAAAAATACTTATTTCTTAGGAGAAAGATAGAGAGCTAGCTGGGAAAGACACTGAAATCCGGTAGCTCACGCAATCTGGCCACCACGTCGGTAGTAGGGTGCTCCACCCACAGCACCCACTATCCTCCAAATTAAAACAGTCAGCGCTATTGTACAGAAAAACTTTTTAGAAATCTTTCAACTTTCTAAAAAATTAAATCGCTTAAATAGCATTAATCAAAAAGTGGGCGAATAAAATAATTGTTAAGCTCTTACTTTTTATTTATTGTATTTGACAGGGAACAGTACTTCTCCGCCGGATCAGAGGAATCCGAGGCCCGGCGTATGTCAATGGTCGGTGGGGCTCGATTGAAGTTGGAGAAAGACATTCTCCTCTATCGCCTGGCACAAGCCTCCAGAAAAAATCACGCCTAGTGGAATTTGGAATCGGTTCAACCAGAGAGCTAAGTAAAAACAAAACGAAAGTTGAGGAAGACCACACCCCTTAAAATGTGAAGTTCGGCGCCATCAATACTGCTACCATTTCTGTTGGTGTATGTGTGACATGGTAGCACAGATGCTGTCATCAGTGGCACTATCACACCTTCTAGCTGTAGCTTTACACACCCATACAACCACTTCAAGGCAAAAAAAGGAAATGAGATGACAAAACAAGGCGCATTGTGATTGGTAGACGTGATGAAGGTCGTGACCTCCCTGAAGTGGAGAATAGAAGCCAAAAAACATGAAGTTTATACAGCTTCGAGAATTTAATCTTAACAAATAAGTACAATCTCCTTTAGGATAATTTAATAATCAAAATCTCAAATGAGGCAGAAACGGAGGTGTGGAACTGCAAATGTGGTCCTGCCTTTCTCCTCCAATTCAGCCGCCAGGTCTTGGTGACCTGCAAATTTGTACAGACCGCCTCTTTTAATTGGCTGCCAGGCCATCTGCACCCCATTGAGAAGCTCTTCTTTCCATGGCAGGCTGTCACAAAACCCCCTCAACTCTAGATTGGGCTGATTACCTTCATCTGGACCGAGAGCTGACAGCTCCTTCTATGTACCACGTAGGTAGCTCAAAACACCCTAAAGTTGGAAATGGAGGTTTTAGGAGAAAAAAATCGACGACTTTCCGTATACTACTTTCGAGGGTTGTAATCTTGTCCCACGGGCTAGTGACTGATAAGTGACGTCTGTCGGGTTGTAATGTCTGAGGTATCTCCCCCTCACTTTTGATTACTATTCATCCATCTCCTTAAAATTTATCAAATTTTGCAGAAAAAATAGGCTTTTTCTACTTTTGATGGCATTGATGAGTGGATTCCGGTGGTTGTGTGTACGAGGGAATAGTCTGAGAGGACCTCAAAATTTATTGACTACTTTGTCACTCACACAGCCTTGAAAGCACATCAATAGACGTGAGAACCTGTGGTACTGTGTGCCATTAGCGCGCTTCAAGCAAGACGATCTGGTGAGAAAGTGACACCAACGACTTGAGTGGGTGGCCTTGAGGCGGTGGAAATCACAAAATTGCGGCTGCCTACGGTGTGTCCACCGCAGGTCGACGCTGACTTATTGTGAAAATGGAATAGGTGCAAGATTTTGAAAAGAACGGTTGGAAGGTGTGCTCTTGCTTCTTTTGGCCCCATTAGAAGAGGAGAAAAAAGTGATAAAGTAGAATCATTTCCATTTGTTGCTGCTGGCATGGAGGCTTAATCATAATGTCAATGCCTTGAGTGGCTTTCATGTCAAACAGGTGTGCGACACCGCTCGCAAGCTGGGGTGACAAATTTGTTGTAAGGCCCTTCAAACACACCTAACATACAGACCGTGGCAGACGGCAGTGGCAAAGTGTGCATGCACAGACTAGTGTGTGTATAAAAAAGGTGTGGAACACCGAGGAAAATCCCGTATACCAGATACCTCAATTATACCACGATGGCGGGACCCTCGGTCTCGTAAAAGGAGGTTGTCTGAATGGGGTGAGTGTTTCAAAGACGGTATGAAGAGAGTGAGTAAAAATTTCCCTTTTTATTGACTCGACCTGAAGACCGTTTGACAATCTGCCTTCCACTTAATGCGGGTCTTTTAAGCCCCTGGTTAACCAACTTTTATGGCTGAACAATTCCCGACCCTTTTGCAGATTAGCATTATAGGCACTGTCAGATGCGTGTCGCCATCAGGTTATTTTGAATGAAAAAATGCAGATTGACATAAGAGTTACTAGTATTTAGCAAATGCTTATTCATGACAAAAGGGAGAGAAGATTTGGAATTTATTTACTGTTGCATTCATAAGCTGAGGAGAGAAATGTGTTGCTGTCGCATAGTACAGATGTAAAATGTAGCAAAAAACTTGTGAGTTATCACGTCAAAACAGAAGCTCGCCTAATTTGGTTGGAGAATTTCCTTCCCCTTTGAACCAGTACACTTCCCTTTGAAAGAAACATTGACTCGCGCCTTAGACTCGGTGTATGACAGCATACCTTTTGAAATGACACTTGATAAAATCTCTATGACAGGTATGCATGCATATTTGTTCCTCTCTATTTAGTCTGTAGTGATCCAGCCTTTGTTTAACGTTGGCCCCTGGGCCAGGGTAGTAACCTTGCAGTGCCGCTGTGAGATAGTGAGTAGTATGTTTTCTTGCTGCTCAGCGAGGACTCAATGAGACGCTACAATTCCTCCCCATGTTATTGGGATGGACAGAGCTAGACGGAGAGTAAATTTTTTTCATAAAATGGAGAAATTAAAAGCGTCAATACGGATGGTAGGAAATGTTTTCAGAAATGCATAAATTCATTTACAAATCGCCCGAAGGGTTTTATCATATTAAAGGGTTTGTTAAAGCTTTGCAAAAAAAATGATCACCAAGTTCGACTAAAAGTTATTGACTAAGGTTCTTTGTTTTGTTCTGTTCTTTTTTTGAAAGCCAATCCTTGCAGATGTGCATCAAATGCTTGGACTGAAGGCTTTTTGTCAGATTGTTGTCAAGCATCACTTGCCAAACCAATCGAGGCGGTGGTCAGAGCTAACTAATTTGGAAAAAAAGTCTCTTAGTTTACTAATCAAAAATTACTCTTTTTACATAAAAATGAAGCTTAAAATGTGCCTCTGTATTTCTTCACGTGTTTACCTGTTCTTTAAAGCGTACAACTTTGTTCAATGTTCAACTTTTCTAACATCGCTTCAGTGGATTTTTCCTTTAATCAAGTTTCCTTCCCCTTTTGGGGTCCGAAATTCTTGTGTCCACTTGGTCCTTTTAAAGATTAGATGCCTAAGCCGCTTCTGGAGGAGTTGTGCTGCCGCCGCACCTTCCCCAAATGCCAGAGAGCAGAGGAGGCTTTTGGAAGCAGGCGAACAAGCCGAAATGCCAGTCGATTAGTTTTCACCATCACTTTTTGACATGAGAACTCAAAGATGGAAGAGAAAAATGTAGAAGACACGAAATAAGTGCCACACTGTTAAGGCGTTGCAAGCTTTCTAATGTGTTCATACGACTACTCAAAAGCCTCTGACAAGTAATGAGATGTCATTGTTGTACGGTGAATTAAGGAATGCATGAATTTTTTTACCGCTCGATGGCTGCCAGCTTTTGGGCGTCAAAAATCTTCCAGCCCTCAAAATAGTCGGAGAAGTTGGGGTGGGATTAGCACTGTGTTACCAGTTTAGGCCAACTTTTGGTGAGCCAAATGGGAGAACTGTCTACCTGCACGGAAAGGAGATATTTGCTGTGGCTGGCTAACTTTGCAATGTCCACAACAAAGGGGTAATTGAGGCTATATCCACCTCTGGTAGTCACTCTAATCTTGTGTGCTGTAAGAAGGTCAATGACAACTAAAGTGCCATCAGAGTGGAACGGTCAAAAATAGTTCGCCATGCTTGTGTAAAGATGATGTGTGAATACTGTCGCCTCTTTTGAAGATGAACCCAGAGAGACGGCTGAACGTCATCGAGATGAGGAGATGGTGGTTAAGGGAGGTAGAGGAGTAAAATAACTTCAGCTGTTGCGCCTTTTTAGACAAAGTTCTTTTATACTCCCGCAGTGGAGTATTTGTAGAGGTACAAAACTAGCGAAATGACTTGATCCAGGTCGACGAGGTGAGGAATTAATTCTGCCTCGTGATCCTCTATTATTCCTCACTATAAATTGTGTAGACTCCTTTTTATCATTAAAAAGAACTTTTTTCCTTTTGTTTCGTCATATTTTGCCCCCTGCACCAGTTTTCTGGAGCAGATCATGCGAAAAAGTAAAGAATGGAGGAACTGGCATCCACCAAATTCTGTGAGCTCCTCACGCCTTGGCATTGCACCTTAGGTCAACAGTTTTGATGGTAGTGAGCAAGAAATGGAAAAAAGACTCTAAAAAAGAATCTAAAGTTTATCGTTAAGGAATTATAAGTCTGTTTGTAAATAATGGGCAGATGTTTCGTCATTTAAAGGAAGAAAAGGGAAGAGAAAATAAAGAAAATTACTTTCAGTTTGTTAATATTTCAGCTTTTTTAAAAATTCCTGTGTAAGTAGGCAAATCCAAAGAAAGGTTTCTATTTAATTGCGGAGTAACACCTCTAAATCAGCTAAATTTTATCTTATTTGTATAAGTATTGCTTGGACAATACTACTGGCATGGTGGGAGTAGTATGTGCAGAGTGTGACCGGCCCTATATGCAACACGTGACGCATGCAACGTTAGAATTTGGAAGGAGTTACTAGGCCTCGGGTAAAAAATTTAAAACAAGTCTCATTTGCTTCAACATAACCCTCTTTCGTCCAGCCCATTCACTCGCCTATTCCTCGCCTTCCATTTCCCACCTCTGCCTCTGTCCCATGTCACAGCCGAAGTGTAACAGTGAGACTGGAGATCCGCGTAGGAAACTCACATCTCTCTGCAGATACTATCCCCTCCTTCTTTGTCATTTTCTTACTCTTCAATCACGGTGTCACAGTCTTGGAGGCATCCCAGTCCGTCCAGAATTGTCAATAACAAAGTACTTGGAAGGAGCTTTAGAGTCTATGTAGTGTGCTTGTCCAGACTTATGTGGCCAAATACTGGTTAGCCGAAATCATACCTCCCTAGGACGTGCGACTCATGTTTCTGGGCCATTTATCATCATCATTTTTTGACGACGGAGCCTCCTCTTTTCACCGAACCAATAGCGTGCTTAATGGCCTCAAAACGGAGTTTGGTGGAACGCAGGAAACAAGAAGTTGCGAACCCCGCGATGCGAAAGGAATTATTTTTTGTTTTTAAAACTTGGCAAACATCTTTTTCATTTTAAGCCGAAATCCTCAAGAAAATCAGCAGTTTTTGTCGGAGTAAAAAATAATGGTGAAAGCCTAACTGAGTCCAATTTCGAGGGGAAATGTCGTTTTGGGGAACACTTCTAAAGTGCATCTCAAATGGGTAGAAAAATTACGGACAAAAAAAATTGGAGGAATTTAGGACCTTTTAGAGAGAAGCGAATTCAACTGGTGCCCCGTTACCCTCGTCAGGGCTTGCCTTTCGTCATTCTCTTTGTAACGTCACAATACGAAAAAATTTGCCTAAGTTTTACTACTTTGTTTTTTTAAAGGTCAATTACAAAATCCTGTTTGGTATTTAGCTCTTGTTTTGTTTGTTTATTCTAGAAGTTGAAATTTAAAAGAGCTGGCGAAATGGTAGACCAGTGATTGGGGGAGAGGGGTGAGGGTTTTGTTTTACTGAACTTGGGATTAAAAGCATAATTTTTACTGCTTTTGATGTCCATTTTACGGGTGTCCACACAATAGTGCAATTTCTGATTGCGCACATTTATGAAAAGAAGGCGATACCAAAGGGAGTGCCTTGCCTCTGCTCTCAATGACTAAGGCATACAAGACAACAGCGGAATGGAGATGAACGACTTTTCTCCTAAATGAACAAGGGCGCAAAGTCAGGACACTCAGGCGTGTATGGAGTGCTCAACAAGGAGAAGCAAGCGACAAACGTGTTGTGGGATATTTCTGCCTTTATACCGCTAGTGTAGATGAGATAGAAGGCTACAATGGTGCGGAGATGAACGAATTTACTCCACGGATTGCGTCAAGCACACCATGGTGGGAGCACTCTTCCAAAGATTTAAGCCTTTCAAAGGTGACCGACTGCACATCCTAAAGTCAGTGAACATCTCCGTCGTGACGATTCGCAGAATTAGCAGCCGTCATGGAGGCACTGATGCCTTTCTGTGAATGAACATCCGTTTAGCGTTTGGGGCGCCTATCTGATCACGGACGCCTTGTGGACCTACGGACTGTAGTGGAAGTGCACTTCAGACGGGCATTTTTAATAGAATTAAAACCAGCCAAGAAGCTATGTCACTTCAAAAAGTTGTCGCTTACGCTGGAGGCCATGAGAGACCTTCCGATTTTAGCCAATACAGCAAGTTGATCCGGAATGCCTTGACCTTACAGACAAGTAGGTCTACTTCAAAGCCACCCGGCTGTCTTGATCAACCACTCAGAATGTTAGCTCAAATGTATGAGAGGCCGATTTTAGAAAGCAAATTTCGGTTCCGCCCCATGAACATGTTTTTTTTTTCTATTCTTAATCAATCCACCAGTTCCGGTCTAACGATCCTCCCGCATATTGTGAGGTTCGTGCAAACCAAAAACAACTTTTAATTAAGGGAAAGAATAAAATTCTGACAAAATACTAAGTAAATTATTTAAATTTTTCCAGTTATCCAAAAAAGTGTTTTTGTTGGAAAAATTTCAGAAGCGATCAAGCCGGTGATGCTTGTCATGCAATGGGAAATGCTGCAATTAGTTGGAGAGAAAGGGAATTATCTTACATTTTTTTACTACCTTTGAAAGGACTGTTGCACTACCAAAAGAGAGAATGAATCAACTCTGGAGAAAAGGGAAATTTTGAGCGATTTTGGATTCTTGACCATTTGTCCCCTTAGGGTATGGAGGCGCCCATAGAAGTTCCTTTCCCCGTTTATGTGACATTACGGTTAAATGACAGATACTAGGGTTGTCATTTACATACGTTCCGAGGGCTGAGAAGCCTAGACCACCTTTAAAAACTGAAGCAGACTGAACTAGTCCAGTCCTTTTCAAATACCTTTAGGGAGGATGGAATGGCAGGCGCAATGAACGCCGTGTGATGACGAAGAAAGCTATAAGGTCTAGGGGTTACTTGTTTGAGTAGAGAGGTCCCTCAAAGACGTCCATGCACCTGTCTGTCTATGACAGTCTCAGTACTGCATTACAGTTGTCTTCCCAGGAATCAGCTAGTTCGCAAAAAGCTCAATCCAAGGTGAGTGACTGTCCCAAAATCTGTGTTGAGTGGGTAGAGTCCTTGAATCCTTCCTGAAGAACATTTCCAGCCTTTTCCTTCTAACACACAAAAATCAAGTCCACACTGAGTATAAGGAATGTGGTGGCAGGAAATCTCTCGTGTGACCAAATGCGGGTGCACCACTTCGAAGAGTGTCTTCAAGGTACCATCAAATCTTTCTCACCGAGAAGAAACTAATAGATGTATTTTACACTCCTTCAAAGTGACAAAACCGCCACCGCGCCGGAAGGACTCTGTAAGAACTTGCGCGGACAGGCGTCCTGTCGACACGCCCTCCACGCTTGTTGATGCACATCACACTGGTCCCTTAATCCACCTCCTAATTACTGCAGCAAAAAATCAGACACTTCTTCGTTTGACTTCAACAAAAAAATGTGCAAATTTTGCCGATGAAACTGGAATTAAGCATTTCCTTTTCATACGTCTCAGTCGGTTATTTGCAAAAGTTGACGACTAAGTGAGAGCTCATCGAGGGCTACACAAAATGGATACCCAAGTTAATGACTAAGCCAGCGATTGACAGAATCTAGGCTGCAAGATAATTGCTCTATCCGCAGGGTTTTGCCAATTATCCCCTAGCAAAAATAATTTTCCCCATTAAGTAATAAAATGAGACTTCAAAAGTGAGAAGTCCGAAACTGCTTATGCTTTGATTTGACGCCTTATCAAATCGTGATACCTCTTGCCCCTAAGTTTACCTCTTCTTGAAGGCGCCTGTTAGTTGTCACTTAGCGCCGTGGTTAACCTCACTGACGACAAGGAAGAAAGGTGGAAGACTACCGGTGTGACCCCATGATACCGCTAGGAGGTGGATCTACAAATTGGGGAGCGTCAGGACCCCGCTGGCTCAAACGCTCATTGACAACGAATATATAGGGCAGTTGTAATGTTTTCTACACAAACGGCAGTAGTCTTGGTTGGACGCCTCTCCACTTAAGCCGAGGAGTAATTGCGCCTTTATTACGTGGACACATTGGCAGAATCATCCGCCCCCGGATAATAAAGCAGGGAATGAGAAGACGAAACTCAAGTGGAACATGCAGATCTTGTCAGCCTTTTAAGGAGATGGAATTCACTTTGAATAGAGTATATCAACAAATCCTTGAACTAGCCGAGCTTGCACTTTTTACCTACACAGAGGCACCATCCTAGCATTAACAGTCAGGCCTTGGAATATATCAGACGTCTATCAACCTTTCGACAAAAGTGGAGAAAAAAGATATTCTTCGAGCGTCCTTTTGGAGGACCTGCTTTCAAATCCTTGCAGCAGAATTCCACAAGGTTTGCTGAATGCATGGTTAGAGGGAGGATAAATCCACTAATGCTCTTGAGAAGAACCCAGATGACCGTGATTTGGATCTGGTGCCCAGAAATTGGTCGGTTTAGCAGATCTCTCTTTTACATAAATTAATCTTTACAACAACTTGTCTACTATATTACGTGATTACTAGGTGCTGAAAAAACCTTCTAAAGGATGTGTTATCGCCAGCAAAAGTAGGATAGGATTTTCTCACACAGTCATCATCAATCCTGTTCCTGCAACCACTCTATTCCTCACCTTCCAGATATGAAGAGGCAGAGGATGTTCAGATACAGAAATAGATTTCTCTTTTTTTCTTTTCTCACCTCCGCATTGTTTTTTTTGTTCTTAGCTTTATATTAATGCGCCTGGATGTAAGAAAACCGGATCACCTTTGTTTGGAGGTTTCAGGCTCCGCTGCACATCCAGGACGAGGCTGAGTGCTTACAGAAGCTGGAAATATAAGTTGGATAAATCAAAGGCCGACAGTAGGTTTCCTGGAAAAAATTACCTTACACATTTTGGTGGTCCTAATAAATATTTAACAAGGAGATGAGTAAATGCTTCTTCACACACATACACACGGCTAGCCTGAAAAACAAGAAGACACAGAAGTTAGTTATTTAGCTACCCTTATAAACTCTTCAGCTATAAGTTGTAATCTTTAAGGAGGAAAAAGTCTTAAATTTTTCCTTTGAAAGTATAGAAGAGAGGAGTGAAAAAAGGAAAGGTGTGGCAGTTGTCTATTTTGGGCGGCGCATTTCGCCTTTCAATTTCGGAAGAAATGTAAAAAGTGAATTTACCAGATCCTTGTGGTTCTGACATAAAATATTTGAAAAAATTATTTTGTGAAAATAATTGCAACTCTTTAGAGCACAAAAATAATTTTAGAGGAGGAGACACATCGACTGAATGGATGTACTAAAGGCTTGTCTGAGCCACCACCTTTGAGGTGACAGGTGGGTAGACTATAACAACCCTAGAACAGACCAGACGTCATCAAGTTCCAAGGCGGAGGGGTAGGCAAACTTTAAAACTCGTTGAATTCCTCCCCCCTCCCTTCTCAATTTACACAATGAAAGATTCCCCCCTCTAGCGAATTTTCCCGACCCAACGAGGCAAATCCGAGGGTAGAAGGGCGAAGCAGGCGAAGCACTACAGGAAAACAGAGTTAATGCCTCTCAGTTTAAATCAACTAGTCAAAGTGGCCAAAATTGTTTTATGTTTGGACTAGACCATCAAAATAAGTACTCAAGGACTTTTATAATCTTTAATAGCAGATATAAGGCAAATTTTTAGCAGAGACTTTTATGCTCTGCTAATTTTATGGGAGTCCCCTTTTTATTATGAAAAGCGAATGTAAGTAATTTAATACCATTTTCTTTGTGAATCTTATGAATTTATTAAGAATGAAGTTGTTGCAAAGCAGATTACGCATATGCTACTTAAACACAATTCAGCAACCAATTTAGCAAAAGGGAATGATTTCAGTCGAGGTGTTTTCTTTTGGTATTATGCTTAGAACACAAAAATTTTTTACAGTTTTGGGAGAAAAACGGTAGAATAGGAAGGATAAACAATAATGTAGGGAAAACAAATGGCATACATATCTAAGGGACATTCACTCATCCTATATTTATGAGTCGTTTTCAAAAGGCGATTCCAGAATTAAAGTGTTCATCCGATTCATCTCCAGACTAATTCCTTTATTTAAGCGAGTTAGGTTCGGAATTTTTGGACACACACAAAATCACGAAGTAAAATCAAGGCTGCCAAGTTTAGAGTTGCAGAAAGCGATGAGGCCGTGGTGAGAGACAGATATGTTGTGGGCTAGTCCCTTCCATACACCGTTAAAATAGATGCTAGAGGGGGCAACAGTCGTGTAAAATTAAGCTACCTATGCCACAGTGAGCAAAGACGCCCTGATGTGTACGGAATATACCAAGCGCAGTGCTGTGGTGGTGATACCCCTCAAAAGGTGTTGACGTTTCAAAGGTGGCCGACTGTACTGCTCTACGTCTGTGTGACAGTGACTCTCTCCAACGTGAGGATTCTTAGCATTGTCAGCCTCAGTGGTCACAGTAACTTCTTTCCATGAACCAATACTTATTCAGCATGTGGACTGCTTGCTCACCATGGCAATGCACCAGAGACAGGGAATATCACACAAAAATTCGCGAACTTTCGCCCCTTCAAAAAGTTACACACTACTGCATGCGAGAGGATAATTTTAGCCGTACTGACAAGATGTTTTTAGGTGTCTTTAAAATCCTGTGGTCAATGTGCAAACGCATCGGCAAGAAGGAACCATGTCCACCCCACAAAATATCGCTATATTATGCCTTTGGGAAACTCACGGTCCCGACTTGACTTAAGATTTCCCTCGATGCTTAAATTTCATTATTTAAATTCACACAAGTAAAGTAGAAAGGAGCCTTTGAATAGGTTATCTACGCCCATTTCAGTCACCATGACGTTGGGCGTGTGCTGATTGTTATCCAATCCCTCTGGGCAAATAATAATGCCCCTTCATGAATACTGAGATGACATCTTTGAGTCTTTGGGAATGATCTGACCCATAAATATACACTTGGATATATTTGTCCTTCTGTTGTGGGTTGATATTTTAACCATAAGGGAGCTTCAGTCTCCGCTCTGCCTGGCGTGACCTTCGGGCCAGTCTGGTAGACCCTCAGTTCTGTTAAGCGTTAGTAAGCAGCATGTTTCCCCCACAGCTACTATGGGCTGTTGCGACCTCAACGAAGGCTCGACAGGACGCTATGCCTGATTTAGAGCTTCGTGCAAGGCAATTTAAGGAAAGGGAAAAGAGAAGCTACTAAAAGCTTCCAAACAACTATATGTCTCCCACTTTTCCCTCATCACTAACCGGATGACGCTGTATATTTTTGCCTATTCTCAAATTTTTGAGTCACTATAGCAACGAAAAACAAAGCGTCGTGTCAGTGGCTTTTCCTTTTTCAAAAATGTCTCTCATTCAAGTAATATTTAATTTGTGGGGCGGTCCTTCTCTCTTTTCCAATGTTACTTTGTTTTTTCCCCATTAAGGTCGCAACGACAATGTCTTATTTAAAGGAGGCCTACAATGCACCTCCTTTATATGCCGTTGCCATAGCACAGGATTTTTTCCATGGGGTTTAGTTGGACGCATTTCTTGTCATGCGGATCATCTGTCGATATGCTACTTTAAAGTAAATGAGTAGGTAGCAGTGACTTCACGGCTAATTTAAGATTTATATACAAAATTTTAATATCCGTTTTTAAAAAGACAATAATTTTCGCATGTCTGTACAAAGAAATTTGGCATGATGTTCCTGTCAAAAATTAGGGTGATAGCAAAGGCGCTTTATTTATTGAAACAGAGACCACTGCCATTTAGTTAAGGCAAAGGTTTACTGCAACTTCCATCGCTTTTGAATTGGCCCGTTTATGGAAGTAAAGAGAAAAACAAAGCTTAGCGGGACCCATTTCTGACTTGTTTCTGTTGCCAAGTCGTCAAAACAGGGCATCATCACCCCTCCTTTCCTTCGCTGTCTCCCATCCTCCCATCCATCTTGCCTTGTCCTCTGATTCCCCACTCGGTCCAGAATGTTTTTCAAGAAGATAGATCTTACCCTGTTACTGTCAGACCTTCAGCAGCTCTGTATATGGTACATCGAAGGCAAGTTCCTCAGGAGAAGAGGTACTGCATGACTTAGAAGTCAGATGTTGGAGAATGATCAACGGGTTACCCGTTTACTTAATGCCGTAAATCAGTCTCTACCTCCCATCACAGGTCAGCCAGCTAAGCAGTCGCTCATTCAACAAACAACTTAGAGCGCTAAGTGTGCAAACAAAAAAAGGCAAAAAAACGGGTTTTTAGGATTTGAATCGTGTTGTCTACCATCTGTCAATGGGTTTGTGGGTGGGAGCCACTTCTGCCACGCCCTCACCAGTTGAATTTTCCCCTCCTCCCCTCACTGTTAAATATCATTACTAGCGCGGAGGTCTTTGTGACGGAAAAGGAAAGGCGGATCCTTTTTGAAAATGATATGCTAGCATTGGATTGATGGTTTAGATTATTCAATTAGACCGCCTCTAGACGGTGGACTTCACGACCGCACCTCCTTCAACCGCGATTCTAGGAAAGCTTCTACAGTGGCAAGTCTCCAGTGGTGCGAGCGGTCTGCATAAAAGGAAGGTAGTGAAGAGCACCACCGAGAATGTACAAATTTTTAAAGGGAATCTATAAAATTTATTTTGTATGAGTTCACTACTTCGATACTACCTGAACTAAATCCAATGTTCATGCTTACAACATCTAAATTTATGGATCAGATACACTAGGTCGCGGTTTCTTAAGACCCCTCATGTGGCAGGAAAGCATCCACGGATGGTAGGAGGTACACCGAGGTGAGTAGTGTCAGGTTAGACCCCATCAAGTGGATTGTCAGTACTTTATGCTGTAAGCTCGGTGATCAAGCCAATCGACTGACGCTTAAAGGGTGAAGGGACTTCACCCAAATGGGATGGTGGAACTGCCTGCAACGCATACAACACGATGTGCTAGGATCGTCTTCCCCACTTTCAAAGACGTTGGAAGGAACGAGGACCGAAAATCGGAACAAGGTGCCAAGAGTTCGGACAGATCGTGGCAAATAGGGAGCATCAAACTGGTCAATGCAGTACCAAAGTTAGCAATTCTCCCTGGTACGTTGTTAAGGCTGGAATTGGAAGTCTTCGAGTTTCTGAGTGACCACGGAGAGCTTCGAGAAACACGCTCTGTGGTGCTGAGGTTTTGGTACTGTTTAGCGAATTTTGATGCCTTTGTCGGATAATTTCTATGGTAAAATATAAAATGCTGTTTCTTCCCTCCTTGTACTAGAAGCTTGAGTGCAGATCTCAAAGTGTGACACCACAGACGACAGCTTGAGACATTAACAATTCGACTGCTTGAAGGAGCAAGGATGTGGTAACCTCAGTGCAGAATCTGTTCTGATAGAAAAATTTAGCCGCGAAAGTGACCACTGTGTGGGAGGTCTAGGCCACATGGATCTCCCTGTTTCCACATTGTAGCTGCTGCACTGGTTTTGTGGGAACATCGTACCTGCTAGTCCTTCTGACTGACCTGACTGACTCAAGCGCCATGGAATTGTGCAGACTTAAGGTGGAAGCACGTCTGCTATTCCGCAAAGTTTTGATCATTTGAAGGTACAACTTGACTGCTTCTTTGTCCACAAGGGATGATTATTCGCCTATCTTCCATGCAAGTTAAAAAGGCCAAAGTTGTACCTTTAAACCTTCTAACAAAGATATAATTGCGTGGATCCTTTGTTCCTTTTCCCTTGACACTACAGCACTCCCTCGATATATCCCTTTAAATCATGGGTTTGTGGCTTTCATTTGCAGGCAGTAATGTAAAAAATAGACAATAAGATGTCGCAAAAAATGATTAAGGAAACCAAGTATTTTGGAAAAAGACTAGTTTTCCTATTAAATAGACCTCTCGTAGTTAAAATTTTAAATCAAACAGACGATGTGGAACCCTGAAAAAATGTATCCAGCTTCGTATGGGCAAATTGATCTCCCCAGCAGTGAGCCGAGCTTGTGGTGAAAGCAGACACTTCTACTCGAAGGTGGGATTTAGAGGTGGTGAGGGTAAGAGATAGTTATTTAATAAAAGTGAAAGATTAGATGGATTTAAGCAGTATCCACAGGCAGTGCACCATTTCAGGACTTGTTTGGCCTGCCCTCCCTAGGCAACACAAGAGGTCACGCAAATTCCCACTTTGTCTCCGATTTAACGAAACAAAGCCTAAGCCGCATTTTTCGGATATAGCAACAGTCCGGCGTGATAGCGGAGTGCTTAATGGCAACGAGATAACTACAAAGTCCCGTCTGCTGCCAATTCAGAAGACATGGTTAAACTTCGAAGTAAAATCGCTGCCAATCGCTCCTCCTCAGACTAACCACAAGGCATTAGAAGGGATCTGGGGCAGCTATGAAGAATAGAAAAATAGACTTGCTCTGGGCAGCATGTACATCTACTTGGATAGACCAAGTTTCGCCTGCCTTTTCCGGCTCACCCAGAGATCAACTGCAATCTTACTATTAGATTGAGCGATTTAGCCCTGTTATTGTCAGTGGAAAGTTGTGGAGCCCATCTTATTAAAAACAAAGGATGCTTTATAAAAAAGAATGTAAGTATTTTGGATAACTTTTGAGGTCCTTTGTGCCATCAAATAAGAAAGTGACTTACTGAAAATTGACTCATAAAAAACCAAGTGCAAACGACAAAGAAATGTTATTAAAAAGGTCTTTCTGGAGACATGACATTGATAACCAGAAGAAATTAGGACCTAGTCAACGCAAGCACTTCCTCTAACCTTCCAAAAAAACTTGGTGCCTCTGTTTGAAGATCGCGTTGTGCTTCTCTCCCTTTTTCCCCTAAGAAGCCGTATAATGCGAACTTATGTTAGATTTTTGTAGTAATGACACTCTGGCTTGGCACTTATTGAAAAGACTAAAGATCGTAGATCACTTCTTCTTTCCCTCATTATCTACATCGTACTTTCCATCTTCGTGGATTAGGGAGCGTCTGGAGTATTGTAAACGACCTGTAGGTAGGACCAATTAAAAACCGATTAGGGAAAATTTTGAGGATAGGAATGGCACCAATGAAGTAGTCTACCAGATATGGGGGTAAACTACTTGGCACCTCATAAAACATTCGTGTCAATAGACCTGCCGCCAAACCGACTTTTATCGCTGTAGAATAATGGTTATATCGGATGTCCCATTGCTAAATGTGTTTTACCCTCTAAAAATTCTGCCAAAATTAATTAGCATAGTTTCGAGATAAAATTGAATATTAAATTAGCCATTTATAGTGTAAAAAAAGGATTAATAACAATTCGGGAATATTAGCATCGCACATAATACTGAAAAAAAATAAGTAAGTGCAAACCACGTTCAGGTGCTCGTCTGTAGAGCCGCACAGGGAAGGAGAGTAAGGTATCGAGACAGGGAAGGGAGAGCTAATCCACACAGAAGGGAAAATGCATGTGTCTTCGTGCCGGAAAGTGAATTAGCTAGGAGTGAGGGAAGTGATAGAAGAGAGAAAAAATTTTCACTACAAATAAACTATATAATAGATAGGGAGTAGGTGGTCTACAAACCTCACAAATATTTATAGGAAAGCCTCTTCAGGACGGGGTTAATATTGGATGATGTGTGGGACACCACATTTCCATACCTGATCGCATTGAAATATGATGAACTCTCTCCCCCTGCACGACGCTAGAACAGATGGATGAATGCTTAAGAATAAAGTGCTATGGGGCAATTTAAGACGCAAAACTTGCCAAATTTAGCTTTTCATTGCCATTAGGGTTGGGTTAAGTAGAATACAAGGAGACCCTTTGAAGTGGTATACAAATTTGGTTATTTAGGACTGACTCAGTGATTCCACCTGAACTTGGAATGACCCTGTCTACCCTCAATTATTTCATAATCTTCTCCTCTGAGCAAGCCATAGGAAACAAATAAAGTGGGTTAATCATGTAAAGAAGGACAAGGATCTTTCTTCTTCTATCCTCAGGATACTGTATTGCCGAAGGGCATCCACCTAATTGATACTTTCAATGTAATTTATGGACTCTGTGAGAGTCTCTAGTTATTTTGACATGTTTTGGCCTAAAAGCAAACAAAACTGCAAAATAATGCCACTTTTGTTCATTTTGAGCAACTTGAGTTGTGAAAATAGACCAAATGGTAGTCTGTCAGTGGTTGTTAAAGTGGGTGCCAACATGTTACCAGCATAGCTCGTCCCACCTTTCAAGTTGGGGCTCGACCACTTTGTGATCGGGACTTGTCTGTGCCGCTAGATGACATGAGGCACTTAATTCTTTTTTTGTCTTTAACCCTTTGCCGACCTTTCTGGATTGTCGGCATGACCTCTGTGAACACCGTTTGCTTTCACTTTTACAGTGAAATCACAAATCTGGCGGGTTAGGGGTTGAGAACATTCTGTACGAATACTCCTCCCATTGTCTAAATCATGCGCCCTCTAATCATAAATCACGCATTTTCGAAACCTTAGATCCTATCTCACTCTCTACGCCTTTTTGCGAATATGTGTTTAGACAAATTTGATAGGCATTTAGTCTAATTTAATTTTAAGCAATTGGGAAAAAAATTCTCTTTGATTAAAAATATCAGCATTTATGGTGCATCCAAGTGACCGGAAATGAGGGAAGTATTTCGGTTTTACGGATGACCTCATTTGCCACCTAGAATTTATGGAATTTCGTAATCACGAAGTGTTAAGTACGATTAATTACTCTCCAAAGCAAGTTGATGGAAGGATTGATAAGTTTCATTTTCCTTTGGTAAACAGAAAAATCACCTGATAACATTAAAAACCCCTTGTCATCTATTAACACCTGTTCATCACATATTTTCTAAATAAAACATTTTTTATTTCGTTCAATTTTACACAAAAAATCACTTATTTGTACAACCTTACGCAGGCAGTAGTTTATAGAATTGGGGGAGGAGAGCCAAAGAGACTGTGATGTTGTTCAAAGCAAAACTTCATGCCAGTTCAAAAAAACTCCTGTCAGAGAACAAAATTCTCTCTAATTTTGGTAAGTCACTATCATAAAAAAGGAAAAGCAATTGTGAAAATCGGAGTGATTTGGTAGGAGTTATCTAGGGTAAGTTGATGGAAAATGTGTCCACCAATGAATAGAAACGTCTATTCTCCTCATTTACGAAATTTAATGAAAGATTTTAGATTGCAAATTTGAAGGGTTCCGTAGTTGCAAAAATTTAAATATCTCTGAACATCCAAACTTGTAAGAAAAATCGCGCCCAAGTGCATAAATGAAAAAATAAATAAAGCAAGTACGATTGTGTTATCAAAATAAATCTGGACACTTAGTAGCAAAATACCTAGATTTGAATGATTAATGTGACCAGGAGTTTGTTTTTATCAACCAATTAGCTGCGTCCAGTGCAAATCGCGGTTTAAACACTTGACGCCGGCTTCTTATGACAAGAAGTATGGAATCAACAAAGGAATAAAACCGTGGTTTATGGAAGAATATGGGTACTAAGCCAAAGGACAAAAACGTACCCGAAAGTGCAAGAGTACTCTCTTCCTTGCTGTTCCGCTGCAAAATATGTGTAAAGGTATAATTTTTGGCCTACCTTGTTAGAGTAAACACGGTATGCTGAGGCGAAACTACACGAAACGGTTTGACTGTTTACGCCAACGACGCATCTTACCGATTCGTCCGCTCGGTCCAATCAGAAGTCGGTGTTTTTTGCAAACACTCTCCTTACTAACATTCTCACAACTTTGGCCTTAAATGGTTTAAAATTGGCAAATTTTGCCCCCCCCCCCCCTGCTCCAAACGAATTTATTTGTCATTGATTGGGTACTCCATTCGGCGGCCCAGTAAACACCACATTAGTGCTCGTTATGGTTGATGAGTAATTATTTCGTTAGTTATTTAACTACCCTATTTCCGATCACTCAGCCAGATAGTTTTTATGATATTCAAATTTTATGGTAAATAGGATTAGAGAAGCCGGACTTGTGCAGATGCCAACAGAGACGTCAAAGTAGCAAGCCACTTTGCCTAAAATTCGCCCTAAATGGGCGAGTTAACTGAAGTTTGTCGAAGAGATGTGTTGAACTGTGCGCATTCGAAGCTTCATCAATTCCTTTCTTAACTAAAGAAAGAGAGGGTCGTAATTTGTTTAATTTCTTCCCTGCTGTGCCAGGATGTTTGATAAAATCTCGACTTTATGAGGTCTGGTAATTTGTGGTAAAGCACACCAGTAGAGTCAAACGAGACACATATCTAGTCCCTTTTTAATTCAAAATCACAAGTGGATGGGTATATTACTAAAGGCTTCGGAAGCTTATCCATCTGCCGGGTCGTCAAGCCGTCCAGGTAATGGTTTGATAATTAGTCCTTGAGATCACACTAACGGGATTGGTACAAGATGACATGATGTGCCTTCTTTTAAAAAAAGATAAATCTTAAGCAATTTTAGGAACCATTCAGAACTACTTCATTGGTTTAGGCAATCAAGTTCCCAAATAAGGCACAAAACTAACGCAAATTTCGCTGCTTTTGTCTCATGTTCATGGCCTAACAGCCTACTCATTTTCGTCTGCCCTTGTCTAGTGCCAAAGTTCAGTGATAATCACCTAAAAGAATACTAACGGAAGAAATACGGCTAGTGCGGGTGAGGACGAGACAGTGGCAACCTCATTCTCATTTGAAAGCACACGTCTTTTCGTGCTTGGATTTTAGGTGGTGTTTGGTTTCAAATCGAGCCTTTGGTGAGTGAACAACTTTCAGTGATTAATTTCGCCCCTAGTCCACCACAGCATGCTATTCTGAAACTGCAATTATGCGTGCCCAAGGAGAGTGAGATGGACATTGAATGAATTTCTTGAGAATGACCAGTGGCACAGGTGTCTGCTCGACGGACTTCAGGATACAACTCGCACTCCTCATAGCAATCCAGTCTGTCAGCGAAAAACCGAAGAATACATTGCTTTCGTTCCTCGAACTCAAAGCGAGTCGACTTACTAGTCCACTTTCAGAGGCAGTTGGCAGTCAATACAGATATTCAAATGTTTTTTATACCTATTTGAGGGTCAAAAAGCAACCTTGAATAATCTCTAAGGCTGGAAATAAGTATACCACTGGCTCTGTCATTGCTCCAAAGAGAATCACTGGGAAAGAGTAGTCCATCCACCTTCAAACAAAACGAACTTTTCACTGTTTAATTTAATTATTCAGTCATTGAAGGCGTGTAGCATGTTCTACCAAGTAAACGTACCCTTTCATGCCCTCATGTGTCCACAGGGGTAGCCCTAGTCGAACTCCTCCCTAACTTGATAAAAATCTCACGAGTTTATTGGGCCATGTGTATTAAAAGAGAATTAGCAAAAAGTGTAAAAGTTTTAACCCTCAAAAAGCATCGAAAAGCCTCCAACTTTAGGTGTGGATAAATAACTAATCGCCGCTGCTGCCGCCGCAGCCGAGAGATGAGATTGCGGTGATAAGACACCTCGATGCAGTGCAAAATCAAGCTAATTTGTGAAAATAGTGGAAGAAGCATCTTTAAATACACTGCAGCATTCCCAAGTATCACTTTAGGAGGGATTTCAGCTGATTAAACTGTGTCCTTCCATCAGCCAACGAGGTGAGGGGTGGAACAAAAGGTCTACACTGGGGGACTTCATGACACCGCGATGACTAACCAGGCAAAGTATCAAAATGCGTCTTTTTTATGACAATGTCCTCTTTAGGCCTCCCTCCACCGCTTTGGCCATCATGAGCTCCCTTGCGAATTATGCTTGATCATGGGATAGCAATGAGGGCTACGTTATGCACCGCCGCATCCATTTCATCTAGGAGCAAATGGCGTGACTTTTTGGTATCCCATCGTCTGAAAAAAGAGGAATTTTACTAGGCAAATGGAGCTAAACACTGGATAGTTTTCTTGCAGCCTACTTACCTACAGTCGGATTATATCCCAAAAGCAATGTGAAGAGTGTCGTGTCCTCGGACAGGCATGAATCACTGCGTTTACGACTTTACAACCGCCTTCGTTAGTGAGTGCTTCTAAGTTCACCTTTTCACAACAGACCTCTTCCCTCTGTGACATCTAGGTGTGAGCCTTAGTCAAAATAAACAAGGAGAGGATTTGCTTGCCCTAATCATCGATGCATCATTCTGAGCTATCCCATTGAAAGGAGACCCGGCATTAGCTTAGGGGGTGTGACACCGAGGCAGTGGCCGAACAGCGGAGGGAGAAGCGCCCTCACCGCAAGGGCCGTAAATATCCAGGTCTCTGGAGAATAACAAGCCTCTGTGTATGTACCTTTAGATTGTCAACTTTTCCACAAATTGTGTATAATACTTGTTGGTCGGGTTTTGACATTTTTCGTTTAATTAAGTTTAGAAATATGCAATCGTGCGTGAGGAGGTGAATATTGTAAATTTTTGAACACTTTGGGGATGATTAAACGTAATGTCTTAAAAACAGCCTAATTCAGCTTGAAAAGTTTATCCTCAGTCTAATAGCCATGTCGAAGCCATTCTGCTTGGTTCGCCAAAAGATTTTAATGCGCTCTCTTTGGAATCAGGATGAAAAAGACCTCCGCCGATCTCAAAAGCATCAAATCTGTGGAAAGAACACCAGATATCGGTCAGCAATGAACTTACTGCACGCCATTCGCCTTTCAAAGGTAACCACCCCCTGACTTTCACTTTAATTCCAGAAAAAAAGAAAGTATATTGCCTTTTTTCACTTTTTCTGTTAGATTTAAGGCATAGCCCTCTCTGTCAAGCCTATTCAACAGCTTGGCCATTTGCCCTTTTGATGAGATCCTCCACAGATTTACTCGCTAACTAAGTTTCTGACCATGATGGGGCACCTACCCTGGCGTAGTTTCACTTGACTAATACCAGTCAACTGGAAGGAAGTCCATAAAAGGCGCCGTACGACGGTGGTAGAGGAAGTTGACGAGACTGGTTCCAGACCCTTGTGATTTCCGCTGCACGGCTACATCCAAGCAGCTTAATACCCGAAGATGCAACACTACTTTAAAAGCAAAATGCTTACTCTCCAAGCACTAAGTAAAAACTAATGTCCCGAACTTACTCAAGGCATAATTTGTGTTCCAATTTAGAGAGAAACAAAATTTTGAGAAAAAGGCAAGTCTTCCTGGGTCTGGAAGTAACCTTAGAAACGAGATCGAATGGCTAACTCATCGAACATCAAAAGGTTCACATCTTTTATGGAAAGGCCAGGGGAAGGCGTTGAAGTCAAGGTGTTTGTGCGTCGTCGGGTCAAAGGTCATTGTGTATGGAAAAGGACAATAGTCTTTCAATTTGGTGATAAAAAATTGCTACCATTTCCTCCATTCTTTTTTCAAAATAGTAAAAAAGCGGGAAAAAATGGGTAATTTCAGCTTACCGCTTTTTTTCATCAAAAATGATACAAATTTTGAACACTTCATTTACTCTCTCCCTTGTCTTTGTTGGTATAATTTGAGATCCGTGTTTCTTTTTTCTATCATTTAGCAAAGAACGGCGGTCATCATTGAAACGACTCCTGTGTTTAAGACCTTTCCATGCCCGTCTGTCTGAAGGACCGTCAAATGTTACGGGTCAAAAGGCAATTTAATAAGACTGAAAATACAAGCAAAGTTTTGTTTTTTTTGCCTGATCTTAAGATGCGTCCCTCCTTTTTAAAATGGTTAGGACCTTTGTGCTCTGGCTTAGCCACTAGGCTTACCGAGACCGTGAATATTGTTGGAATGGATTCAAGGTCGTCAGTGGTGTAGCTTTGCATTCGAGTTCGGGGCTGCAGAATCTTTTTCTCAGTTTTGCATCAAATCCTTGTTTGCCGTTCAAACAATCCAGCACATGGGCACCCTTCCAAGGTCTGCATTGCATTCCGACTTGTGGATATCTGTGATCTACTGCGGGTGGAATACAAGACGATTACAGCTTAGGTTTATTCACTTGCCGCTGCTTGACTCAAGGGCACACAAAAGAAAGCTTCTTGATGAGGGATAGCAAGGACTAGTAAAATCAGGTGGACGGAAGACTCTTCTCTTGCGAGATCTGTCACATGTACCATAGTATTTTTTCTGGTGGCAATTGCCGTCACTTTATCACGTAATCTCACGCAAAATTGACACCAGGAGAGTGAAACAATCGAGATGTAAGCTGGCAGGTGGCCAGGTTTTTACTTTGCTCCCAAAAGACACACGTTCACTTTGTCAGGAAAATACCCACCAAGTCCACTTTTTTGGTCATCAAAAACCGTCCACGCTTCTTCTAGTTGCGTTTTAGGCAGTCTCTTTTCTAATTTGTTTAATCCCGGAGGCAAATTTGATGGTTTGGTGGTTCTATTTGAGTTTGAAAGAGGGATTCACTACTTCAATCTGTCATTTTGATAAATTTCACTTCACTTTGTCAGCAAGCGAGTTGACAGGTGATCTACCATTCCCCTACCCACCACCAAATTGGTTGAACCCAAGAGGGGTTGTTTGACTGCCAGTTAGATGGTGGATATTGCAGTCGTTAACTAAGGACATTTATACTTAATGACTGCCTTTTATTAATGCAGTTAGTTCATACCTTTCTCCCAAAAATACCCGATAGGATGTAGGCGAACGCTTTAAACTGTTAACAATATCCACCTCAGAGGAGAACGAACCACCCCGGTCCAATAAGTTGCTTCGATGGCCGAATGTGACATCAGGAATTTGCCCTAACCTTCCAAATTGGCTGAGTTGAGCAAAAATGGTCAAAGTAATCTGCTCGCCTTGTTTACAACACAAGGTGAGAAACTGCGCTTGGAGAGGTAAATTAAAGCCGTCATATATGTGTGACGCTAGCTGCGGACGCTTATTCTCGGAGAGCCTTTCAGTCCCTTCTATCGCAATCATCATTTTTGTGTCCTAACATTTTAGTTGTTTTGCTGAAGATTTTAAAAACCTGTGATACAGCATCTTTTTTCAAAGTACAACACTTCTCATCTCCTTGGGGAGAGTTCGGGCCATATAATGTGGAAAAGATGTTAATCATTTAAGAAATTTTTTCTCCTTTCTAAAGACAATCCTTTGTTATTGTATTTAAAATAATTCTAAATATATAAGTCAAGCACTTTAGAGGATGACAGGCAATGTAAATTTGCTTTCCCTTGTAGCCGTTACTCCATCCAATTCGTGACGTGTATAGCTGGAAGTTTAAGCGGGCATTACGATAACTCTCGAGAAGTTCAATTACTCAAATAAATTTATGAATTGAACTTCAGCATTTTTTTTGTATTTTTTCATGCCTTCTAGTTCAGCACTCGGATACTACCTTACTTAAATTTGAACGTTTACTTAAGTAGTATGAAACTTCAACTTTATTTCCGTGTGTAAATTTTGCTGTGAATCTTATATACCACTCTACTAAATGGCAATAGTTTTAAATCTGCCTTTCCTTTTTTGCTTTCTGTCGGGTTAGTGACGTTTCGCCCTGGGGGTTAGAGTAAACACTCATGTTCTGCTGTGTATGCAGCTATTACTTCCGAGAGACCAGTGATGTTTTTAAGGACCAAAAAATAGCAAATGGTAATCAATTGCATTTTGATACCTTGCCTACTCTTTTTTTCCTTGCGTTAATGCAGGGGCAAAATATATTTTAGATCTTTCTAATGAGTCCAATTTGAAAAAGAGTCGACCGGCTACTTTTATATCAAGTAGTATTTGTTTGGGTGCATGAATATATGTTTAAAGATATCATTTTAAAACATACAATTCAGTGTGATGAGTTGAAAACTCTTGATTTTGCAAAAGGTGCCCACTTTTTTTTACACACTTTTGCCTGTTTTCATTTAGAGACGAGAAAACGTCAACATTGACGGATATGCTGATACAGTCCAAACATCTAGGGCGAGGGGCTGCTTCACCTCCTTCTAGGTCAAGCGCAGGACTCAGTTTTGGTATTTAGCACTCGCTATTTTTAACTGTGCTAATCATTGCTATAGATAAATCTTTTTGGAATTTCAGGACGGGTTATGTTCCAATTAGCCCAGATCTGAATCAGGCGTTTACCACGATGATTGAGTGGTCACAGGAATGGCTGCTGTACGATGACCTAGCGCCCAAATAGGTCAAGCTTGTTGCTGAGAGACGTACTTTAGACCTTGCAAATGGTGCATCATTCACATGCGTTGCTGCTAAGGGGCTGAGAGTTCCTGCATTACGCCGTATTTGAAGTCACCTGTCAATGGAAGTAGACCACCGCCATTCAGAGTTGTATGCCTTCGTTCACCAACAAGCTTTGCGGAGCACTACAGGATCTGGCATGCACGTGTGTAGGTACTACCGTGTCTGTCAGCCACCGTTCACTTGCATCGACCGTGTGCAGACTAGTTCGCACAGCGCTATCCGCCAAGTATCGGTTTGATCTGAACGCCTTTCCTGTCCTCAGTTGAGGTGATGAATATCGTCACTTTAAAGAAGAATGATTAAAAGCAATCAAAAAGAGAAAATTTTTTAAAAAATAAAATTATGAGTAGATCAGAGTCATCCACCAAATTGTTTCAGGGTCCAGTTCCGGCTGGAAAATCATGCAAATGTAGAAGAAATACAAATGGAAGAGGCTGAATCTTCCCTAGGTCCTTTTGGCCAATATTAATGCCTCTATTTCCTTTATAAATCCGCTTTTTTTAATGCCAATTGAAAGACAGGGAAAATGCAAAAGGCATTGCCAGAAATTGTGGGAAAGTTTTTTTCAACCTGCAAGAAGGCCACTTCTATTTCACCTCTTTCCTAACCCAATTTTTGGGTCGGGTTGATGGTAAGTGCCATTGAGTCTTCATTTTAGACGCTAAGAAGATTCCGTTGGTAAATTCCCGCGTTCTTGATGGCTGCGCCTACACATTTTATCCACCAACACGGCCATCAACGTGGCATCAAATTACCCTGTCAATGTCAACAAGTGTTTCTTCATTATCAAGAAAAGGGATCTTCTCTAGCCTGCGACATGTCCATTCGGTGATTTCTGTCGGCATTGCAGGCGTCAGGGTCGTGTGAGAACCATACAATCGCTTAAATGGGCTCAGGTGGTGGAGCTGTTCTTTGCGATTCCTTCCCATCGAATGAGCAGCTGCCAGGTGGTCGACAGAGACCACGCAATCCCAACACCATGACATCAAGGTGGTTGAAGAGGACATTGAAGAGCCGTGCGGGTGAAGGTGTGGTCTTTAATAAATGTCATGCTGGTATAAACAACGGACAAAACTTGCGACTAAGCACTTGTAGGCCTAACATTGAGGACCCATAAACTATCCAGAGTAAACTACCTCCCTTGATGGCTCCACATGAAGTGCCAATCTATCCATCGTATCATAGCTTTCACCTTTGGCTCTAACTGTATAATGTGCCGATGACAAGGTCTTCGATTGTTCCAGAACAAAAAGTGCAACTAATCTTTTTATTTGTATAACAGGAGGTGATTTTTGCACTCTATGCTAAGCTGCTCCACCGGCTCAGTTACCAACTTGGCGTGATGGGGTTCCATTTATTCACAAGTGTTTATTAGTTTTTCACTTTGCCCATCGGTTTCAGCAATCTGAATTGAGAAAAGAGGTCACAAAAGGACATCCTGGACTGCAATAATGTGAGTGTTCGAAGTTTTATGGGGAAAATGAAGTTTGTCGTCACCTCCTCCTCCTCAGGGACCGAAGAGGAGGCGCGTCCGATCTGCCTGCTTATCACCCAAAAAGCGTAGTCAAACAAACATCAACCGCACCTTGCTAATAAAGGGTTGTCTTCATTTAAAACTTTAAAATAAGATATTGTTCTTAAAAAACTGGTTAGGATATCATTAACACCTTTTTTATGATTCGATATGGTCGGTATCTTAAGGAAACGCTCTTCCCTTGACGTCGTGCTCTTTAACTTCAACTGTAGCGTTTTTTAAAAAACATGTATTTTTTAACCTAAAATTTGAAAAAACTAACAAAGAAGCTTTCTTTAAGTGATCACTACAAAGTGGAACTCATAAATCTTTCATAGCGCCAGTCAGTGTTGAGTGGTACCATTCGGGGCTAGAACGTGAAGAAGAGCATCCAGTAATGTTTAACGCATGTAATGGGTTAAATTATTTGTACCAAAGACAATGGGAAGAAAAACGTTAGCGGTGGAAGCGAAACAAATGGCTTTCATCCACATGCATTAACAAGCAGCACACTATCAATGGTTGTCAATCAACGAAGGCTATCAATTTGCTATGCATCACATCTTTCATATACCCTACAAAACGTGTTGTCCACTTTCCATTCTTTGTTAACTGATTAGATGAGAAGAAATAGTACCTTTAATTCATTAGGTGAGCAAACACAGCAGTGGCTGTCTCCAAACGACCCATTCCTTATTCACCCCACTCTTCTAGGGTATGCACCACTTCATCCCCGCAAGACTTCCCTCGCTGTCTGCGCGTCTGTGGTGAAGGTCAAACAGTTACAGGTGAGATTTACCTGCTTGAAACACTTCATACTCAACTGTTATGCATGAATAGTGTACGAGCACGGACGTAGAGGCCTAACGCTCACCGTCATCTATTTCTGATCCCTATCAGAAGACCCAAGAAAGCGAATACTTTTAAGTGGAGGTTAGGAGTGACTTTCGGTGTACAGTATGAACATCGCTAGAGTACATAAGCTTCCCGAAACTATGATATTAATGTCTTTTCTAATGAACCTAAAGGTGAGGAGGAGCTGTAATGCCCATAAGGTGCATACTAGTAAAGCATAAGTGAAGAAGTCGAGCGTAGAAAATACAAATGCTGCTAAAGTATTAGGAAAAAAGACGCGAGAAGATGGAAGTCACATTTCAAAGAGAGCCTTTTTTCTGATGATGAAAGCGCTCTGGGCATTTATACCGCCTATAAACTTACTCTTGAGGAAGGAGGGTACATAGTAGTTCTCTGATAAGGTTTTTTCAAGCTTTTGTTACCTTTACTGACATCTTACAACCACAGGGTTACACATGAAATAGAAAAAAGTAGGTAGATGGTAAACACGAGACAGAAAAGGCGTAACCACCATACACATGCGCACATGCCTCTCCCTCGGCTTACTCACACGGTCGGTAACAAAGACTCATGATTCTGTGGTTAGTTGGCTTGGGAAATCAAAACAGACTGCCCGTGTGTTCACACGTATATACCGCACTTTACAACCATTTCTAAGTGAAAACGTCGCAAACCAACTGTCTACTCTGCCCACTGTAAACGACTCAGTGGCTAAATCAAGTAAGTAGCTTGCCTTGGCGCGACAACGACCAGTGGCAATATCGCACTTAAGAGTATGAATACATAAATAACTAATTTATTTCATTGCAGGTCAACACGCAAGCACGCAGTCCTCCAACCTAGGTTCCCTTTGAACTATGGCGCAGAAGGTATTTCATCTTCCATTGAGCCGCCCTAGGCATGTCAGTTCCTCTGTCACTGCCTGCAGGCGGCTTAATAAATGGAAAGCAAGTCAGGTCAAAATGGCTCCCCCAGCTTCATTTTTTATGAATGACTGCCAACGATTAGTAATGAGAAGACATTATTGCGTGTACATTGCTTCTAGTCATTTCCGATGACATGACAATGTTTGACTCTCGGAGGTATTGTACTGCGGGTATAGATTCCACTTGTAGGGGATGAATTGTGTATAAAAGAGGAAAAAATACAAAGAAAATCTTAGGAATCACATTTTTACGGTTTTAGGAACCATCTCGGTGTTGCGGTGTTCTGCACATCAGCTCATCAAGACTCATGCATTTTTGGCATCTTCAAGGCAGACCAAGGAAGCTGTTTCATAAATTTTTGCAGAAAATTTCAGAAAATTTGAGAAATCGGAGCAGTTTTTTTTCATAAGAAAGTCAAAGTTTGATCCCTAAATCACTAATGGATGGAATAATCGTGTACTTTCAACAGGAAATTTTTTCCAAATAAACAGAAGACAATTAAGTTGTTGTCTGAGTCCCACTTCTTTTTTAAGATTGTTCGCTACACCGAAATGCAATGAAACTTTGGCGGTATTCTTAGGTTAAAATGAACTGGGGAGGAATGATAAACGAAATCACACAGTTGGCATTTACTTGTACAAAAGCGCATTTAGACAAATCTCTTGGCCGCTTTAAAATATATGCAACACGTCCCCTTTTTGGTATCTGAAGGGTTTTTTAGATAACGACTTACAATTGCTTACTTTTGCAAAATGAATTTAACGCCCGTTGAAGCAGTCAGAGCATTTGTTGAGTCTGAGCTCAACATTTCTCGCCAACGGAGTGATCATTTCGTATGATCCTGGGTTTTTACGCCCGTGAGTCTTCGAAACCCCATCCTAAGCTTACTCAGCAGGATTACAATTAATAAAGAAATAAGGTCAAACGACTTGATTGACCAACGAGTTACGGTCACTACCTACACCCCTGAGGGCTAGAGACCAAAGTCTGTCCAGGTGCAAGTCGACGCGTTTGTCAAAGGTTTTAGTTGAGTGCAGCTGGGGTTACTGGCTGACCGTTACTTTTGGAGTTTCAACCAGCACGTAGAGAGGATGCAATTGTTTGGTATGGTCCGATCAGAAATGACTGAGGGAGGGTACGACTCTGAAGAATGTCCGGTTGTCAGCAATCAATTAAGGCCTCTCAAAGATCGAAAAGTAACACCTTCAAGGCATTAAAGGTACCTTTAGCAAGTTCCTGCTTCTATTAAAAGCTGCACTTCTCTCAAATAAAAATACTTTACCTCCTCATTTATTAATAACATCTGTGGATGCTTGAATTCTGCAGATAAGAGAGTGGAGAGAGAGAAGAGAAACTTGACCATGGAATAAAGCCTAGTCAAGTTAGTCCTCCCTCAAGGAAAGTATCTTTTCCTCCGCTCCATTTGCTTCTTCTTCCATTCGATACACATTCAAGTCACTCAATTCTTGTTTTCTTTTTCTCCCAAATTTTATTTTTTCATGTCTGTAATTGGTATTTCTACCAGCTACAACTTCGAAATCGCCGTTTTAACGCCATTCACCACAGTTTAATCAAACATTGATATTGTGGACTGGCTAATTAAGCCAGTTAACTTGATTACTTATTCATGGGGAAAAAAAATTTGGTTGGCATTTTTATTTTTTTCCAAATGAAAATCCGCAGTAGACCAGACTGCACCTTCCATTCGAATAAACCTTTAATTTATAAACTTGACTGCATGGCCTCCTCACCCTCCTCAATTTCAACCAGTATCGTAACGTCACGGTGACCCATCCACGCTGACAGACACTCACTTGTTCGGTGTACTAAAGTGTATTACATCTTCAGGAGTAACTTAGACCCTCAAGTCTGTTTGGAGTCATGGTCCCGAAGTTAAAAAGAGGTCGTCAACCGTAAATATCCCCATCTGCGGAGACTCACAACACATTGCCCATTGAAATTGTGTTCACTTTTTGGCAGACGCGGTCCTTGTTCTACTCACTGCCCAATGTCAAAACGAGGAAGTCATCCTTAAGAAGCTCCTTATGGTGTTCATGGGCACATGGGTGCATACTATGGTCCAAAGATGCACTGCTCCCTCCTCCTCAGGATGCTTTCAAGGCGATGGACAAATATTGGCCAGCTTTTGGTGCCCCTCTCTAGGCAATACTTCCTGTGCAGTTCACCTCACGGAGAAATGCGGTGCTCGGAAGTCGCGAGCGGGTTTCAAGACACCACTTAATAGGCATTCCTTGTTCCGTATTCATTTCTCCCTTACTACTGAAAAAGGAAAGAAGGCTGGTTACTTGTGATCTACTTAGAGGCTGGTGGGGTAAATGGAGACCACTTGTAAAGCATACCAAACAAATAAGACTGCTGAACGAATTCTTTTACAAATAAATAGCGGATCAAATTATTCAAAGAAGCAATTTTTTTACCATAGTTGCTTAATTTTACAGAAGCAAACAACCTTGCACCAAGCCTATCCAAAAGCCCTACCAACTTCCTTTCCGTCATGAGTCGTAAATGGAATGCGAAATCAAGTGGATTATAAACTGTGGTTTATGTGTGTGCGTGCGAGCACTTTTCATCCAACACACACACAGAAATAAAGACTTCAACGCAAATCCATCAATTACCGACAAATGAGAGGAGGTTGGAAGTTGACGTGTGCTCCAAGTCTTCTGACTGGCCGCTGGTGGCACGAGACGGCCCCACCGGTGGTGGTGGTGGTGGTGGTGGTGGTGGTGGTGGTGGTGGTGGTGGTGGTGGTGGTGGTGGTGGTGGTGGTGGTGGT